ATTGATTCAACTTTTGATTGGCAGCACCGTATTCTGCTGGTGAGAGCAAGAGAAGGCGTGTGGATCCCTGTGTCCATGGACCGACCATGGGAGGCCTCACCATCCATCCATATTTTGACTGAAGTATTAAAAGGCGTTTTAAGTAGATCCAAAAGATTCATTTTTACTTTAATTGCAGTGATTATGGGATTAATTGCAGTCACAGCTACAGCCACTGTGGCAGGAGTTGCATTGCACTCTTCTGTTCAGACAGTAAGCTTTGTTGACAATTGGCAAAAGAATTCCACAAGGTTGTGGAATTCACAATCTGGTATCGATCAAAAATTGGCAAATCAAATTAATGATCTTAGACAAACCGTCATTTGGATGGGAGATAGACTCATGAGCTTGGAACATCGTTTCCAGTTACAGTGTGACTGGAATACGTCAGATTTTTGTATTATACCCCAAGTTTATAATGAGTCTAAGCATCACTGGGACATGGTTAGACGCCATCTACAGGGAAGAGAAGATAATCTCACTTTAGACATTTCTAAATTAAAAGAACAAATTTTTGAAGCCTCTCAAAGCCACTTAAATATTGTGCCTGGAGCTGAGGCATTAGATCAAGTGGCAAAAAATCTTTATGAATTAAACCCCACGACTTGGATTAAGTCTATTGGAAACTCTACTGCAATAAATTTTGGAATTATGTGTCTCTGTTTAATCGGCTTGTTTTTAGTGTGCTGGACCAGTCGAAGAATCCTGCGTCAAAATCGAGAGAACGAACAAGCCTTCATCGCCATGGCACATTTATATAGAGGAAAAGGGAGGGAGAACGTTGCGGGAAGTCAGGGACCTTGAACACAGGGACTGGCTGAAGCCACGGCAGAAAAACATAAAATGTGAAGATTTCATGGACATTTATTAGTTCTCCAAAATTAATACTTTTGTAATTTCTTATGTCTGTCTTTACTTTAATCTTTTAATTCTATCATCTTCTTTGTAAACTGAGGAGGATATATGTCACCTCAGGACCCTGTGATGATTGCCTTAACTGCACAAATTGTTTGTGGAGCATGTGTGTTTGAATAATATGAAATCTGGGCATCTTGGAAAAAGAATAAGATAACAGCAATGTTCAGGGAACAAGGGAGGCAACCTTGAACTGGCCGCCGGTGAGCCGGACGGAACAGAGCCATATTTCTTCTCTTTTCATTATGCAAATAGGAGAAATATCGCTGAATTCTTTTTCTCAGCAAGGAACACCCCTGAGAAAGAGAATGCGCTCTGAGGGTAGGCCTATAAACGACCCCCTTGGAGGCGTGCCGCCTTTTACGGTTGAAGCCGAAGGGATGAAATAAGCCCCGGCCTCCTGTAGCGCTCCCAGGCTTATTAGGACGAGGAAATTCCCACCTAATAAATTTTGGTCAGGCAGGTTGTCTGCTCTCAAACCCTGTTTTCTGATAAGATGTTATCCATGACTGCATGCCCAAAAATTTTAATTTTAACACCATCCTGTGATCTCATCCTGCCTCCACTTGCTTTGTGATATTCTGTTACTTTGTGAAGTATGTAATCTCGGTGTCATGATGACAATGGTGGTTTGGTTGAAAAGAAAAGGGGGAAATGTGGGGAAAAGAAAGAGATCAGCCTGTTACTGTGTCTATATAGAAAGAAGTAGACATAAGAGACTCCATTTTGTTCTGTATTTGAGATGCTGTTAATCTGTGACCCTACCCCCAACCTTGTCCTTGCAAGAGACATGTGCTGTGGTAACTCAAGGTTTAATGGATTTTGGGCGTGCAGGGTGTGACTTTGTTCCTAGAAAAGCTAGGTATTGTCCAAGGTTTATCCCCATGTGATAGGATGAAACAATGTTGCTAAAAGGTTTATCTCAAGGCACAGGATTTTCCTTTAAACTTATTCATGTCACAGATCCTTGTTCTTATGTCTTACTGCTAATTTCCTCCCTAAAAACAATCCTATTGTCCTGCCACTCCCTTATCTTTAAGATGGTAAAGATAATTATCTATAAATACTAAGGGAACTCAGAGGCCGGTGCCGGCGTGGGTCCTCTGTAAGCTGAGCGCCGGTCCCCTGGGCCCCGCTTTTCTTTCTCTATACTTTGTCTCTGTGTCTTATTTCTTTTCTCAAGTCTCTCGTTCCACCTAACGAGAAACACCCACAGGTGTGGAGGGGCAGGCCACCCCTTCAAGAATAAGGTTGAAGAATGAGTAGAAACTAGGGTGTGCGTGTGTGTGTGTTTGTGTGTTTGTGTGTATGTGTGTGTGTTAGGAGGGAAGAGTTTCTAGGTAGTGGGAAAGCATATGCAAATAAGTTGAGCAGCTAGACTAAAAGCTGCCTGAGGGCAGGGACCTTGTCTCTTCATCACTGCATCTCTATTATATGACATCATCTCTGCATCTGTATTACAAGACACAGAGCCTGGCAGAGAGAAATTCTTACTGGAGGAAATGAATGAATCCCGGGCATCTTCTATATAGGTTGGTGCAAAAATGATTGCAGTTTTTGCCATTACTTTTAAATGGCAAAAACCACAATTACTTTTGCACGAATATTTCCTATTACAGATGTCAATTCAAGTCATTTAAAAATTTTCTCCCGAAGTTAACTGCCGGATGATTGCTCTTATTCATAGTAGGTAGCATAGGCAAAGCTGCTAGAACAAAAGACTCAAAGTAAGTAAAAGGTCAACCTAAGTTTCTTTATTCTCACATAACAATACTGAGTGGATATTTAGGTCAGTAAGGCACAGTTCTCCTCCACTCAGGAATCTCTCATCTTCAGGCCTTGCCTTCTCCAGAGCCTGGTCGCCATCTGCTTCCAGGTGGCAGAAGGAGTAAGAGCACAGGGGAGCACCTGTTGGAGGTCTGTATGGGCCAGGCCTGGAAACTGTGCACATCTCTTCTGCTCGCTTTCTGCTGGGCAGAGCATAGGCACAGAGCCACACTTATTTTACTTTGATAATGCAGTGTAGGTGTATGTCCAACAAAGAAAATAATAATTCGGTAGACAACTAAGTCTCCACTCCAATATTCAATTACTTATGCTCTGGTATGTCTCAAATTAACCTAGATAGAAATGAACTCTGAATCTTCCACTTCCATCAAGTTTTTCACTCACTCAGTGGCATCATTATCCATCCAGTTGCTTAAGCATACATGTGAAAGTTATCCTTGGTCTGTTTCTTATCCTCCCCTTCCACATCTAATCCTTCAGGAAGTCCTGAAAATGTTACCTCCGAAACATGTCTTAAATCCATCTTCTCAGCCAGGCCCAGTGGCTCATGCCTGTAATCCCAGTACTTTGGGAGGCCAAGGGAAGTGGATCACTTTAACTCAGGAGTTGGAGAGCAGCCTGGACAATGTGGAGAGACTCCATCTCTACAAAAAAATACGAAAAATTAGCCAGGCGTGGTGGCATGTCCCTGTAGTTCCAGCTACTCAGGATGCTGAGGTGGGAGGATTGCCTGAGCCCAGGAGGTCTAGGTTGCAGTGAGCTGTGATCATGCCACTGCACTCTAGCCAGTGGGACCCTATTTAAAAAAAAAAAAAAAAAATCCATCTTCTCTACACCTTTACTGCCACCTCCTTAGTTCAGTGTAATAATCTCTCAACTGCATTATTCTCCAATAGCCTAATAGCTCTGTTTCCATTCTTGCTTTCCTATATTCCATTTTTACAAAGCAGAGTGATATTTTAAAACAAATTTGATCACACCACTCTTTAGTTTAAAACCTTACAATAGCTTAGAATAACATCCAAAGTCCTGATTATGACCCCCAAAGGCCACATATGATGAAGCCACTGCCCACATCTCCAACCTCATCCTTTTTATACTTTTTTAAAAAATTTTTTTGAAATAGAGACGGAGTTTCACCATGTTGGCTAGGCTGATCTCGAACTCCTGACTTCAAGTGATCTGCCCACCTTGGCCTCCTTAAGTGCTGGGATTACAGGCATGACCCACCGCGCCCGGCCTCCAGCCTCATCCTTTATCAGTCTCCTCCTACTCGATCTACTCCAACTACAATGACCTTCTTGCTGATCCTTGAACATATTTAGCATATTTCCACCTTAAATTTTTTACCCATCTGCTCAGAAATCTTTCCTTGGATTTCCAATAGCCAGCCCCTTCTCATTCCTCAGGGGTCTCAGCTTAAATGTTACCTCCTGAGATTCCTTCCTTAATAATCTAATACGAAGCAGTCTCCACATCCCGTTATTCTCTTACCTCAGCATCCTGTTTATGTTCTTCTTAGCATCAGACTCGGGCTTTTTCCTGTTTATTACCTACTTCCTTTTCCTGAAAGATCCATGTGCCGGTACCGTGTCTTGTTCCTACTGTTTCTCCAATGTCTAGTAGATTTGGCACATACTGATGTGCAATTAATAAGTGAATGAAGAACCATTGAGAGGCGATTAGTCAAAAGCTCTTTCAAAGCCCTTTGATAGGTTATCGGTGGAGAGTAGGGAGCACAAACCTGGGGTCCCATTCTAACTTGACCACTTCTCGGCTGTGCGCAAACTAGCTCTCTTGAGCCTCAGTTACCTATTCTGCAAATTAGGGATGGGAACATCCATACCTCACAACACCAAATGGCTCCCTTGTAAAGATGAAAGGAGGTAACGTAGGAAAGAACTCCACGTAAGGTTAATGCTCCGTAAACACCGCTGCTACTGCTATTATATATTCTACACAATCCTGCTCCCTTAAGGCAGGACACTTTAGGTGCTTCAGTCCTCTCTTCTCTCTCCCGGGTTGACCTCCATGGATCCTCTCAGAAGAGCGTTTCCCAGGTGTGAATCCCTGCAGAGTGGAGATAAACGCTGAGGCTCCAACGCACGCGCACTCACGCGAGTTCGGACCCATGACGTCATTAGCGCAGCGCCATCGCCGCGGAAGGTCCAGGGGCCTGTTCTGTAAGCGGCGCTACTTAGGGAGGCCCAGGCGGGCGCCTGCAAGTCGGGTGCGCGGCTTCGGGGCGGCTTGGAAACCCCAGCTGAAGGCAGCAAGGGGCGCGTGGGGCCGTGGAGTCACGAAGCTGGGCGGCAAAAGGGGCGGCCCGGAGCTCCCGCGGAGCACAGCGCGTGCGTGAGGGCGGCCGGCGGGGCTGCCCGGCGCGGGTGTCCCGGCGATGTGTGGCGCTGAGGCGGCGGCGGGAGCAGCGGCGCCGAGCTCTGCTTCGGCTTCGGCTTCGCGGCGGTGCAGGCGGCGGAGGCGGAGGCGCAGGCTCCTCTTTAGGACCTGGCGAGCCCGGGTCTAAGCGGCGGCCCCACGAGGCCCCTGCACAGCGCCCCGGGTGGAGGCCCTCCCCGCCTCGCCCTACCCCGGGAGCCTGACTCCCCAGCCGGGGATGAGGCTAGGAGGCGGCCGCGCGGGGCCCAGCACAAAGACTTGTCCCCAGGGGCCGCCGCCTCCGCCGCTGCTGCTGCCGCCAGCCTAGAGCCGCCCGCCGAAGCAGAGCCGGCTCCGGGGTCTTCATCCCCACCGGTCCCGAGGGGCGGCTGCCTCCCGTCGTCACGAGGCCCAGGGGCCCGAGAGCCGAGCCCTTTGCTTCCTCGGCCACGCGGGGACAGGGCGGCTGCGCAGCCTCTGCCTCTCCCGGCTGTGGGGGCCCCACTGAGTATGTCGGAGGAGAGCGACATGGAGAAAGCCATCAAGGTAAGGGGGAGGTGCCCCCTCTTCCCCTGCGTTGTCCTGTGGCGTTCTTCTCGGCTTCAGCCTCAGAAAGCGGGGAGATTTTGCAGTGAGAGGTTCCATCGACTCCTGGGTTTCGGTCTCCTCTGGATTCCGTGGATCGCGCTTTACAGCCCTGGGGCCAAGGGTGTGGGTGTACGTCTGGGTGTGTGTCCGACTCCCACCAGCTTCCTTGGTGAGTGTGACTTGTGCTCAGCTAGAACGGAGGTGAGTGTTCTGGAGACACTATCAAGTGTCAATGAATGGGACGAAGAGAGCCCTGCTACTACTACACGTTTCGATCACTCCCCAAGGGCCGCCGGCATTTGCTTCCGGATGGTCTACAGCACTTGGAGAGTTGGAATTTATCCATCCCTCCCGATTTGTTTGAAATCAACCTTCTGGAAATCTGCAGTTTCGGAAGAAGGTGGTTCGCCATACAAAACCTGTCCTTTGTCAAATAGGTTGTCCTCACTTTTCCGTGTGTTCTCCCCCTTTTCTCTTTCCTCTTCTCTCTCCTAGGAAGCATTGAGTTTACTTAGGAAAAGTTAACAGTTCCTGTGACTTAACTGCGCTTAAACCCAAAGAAAAGCAAATGTGTATTCGAAAATTACACAATAAAATAAGTTTTCTAAAACCTGTTTTTAATTTTTTTTTTAAGGCACATTTTGCCCACTTAAGGCTAGTTACCTGTTTTGACAGCTGTAGCTAAGAAATTAGTCTCATGAAAATTAAACAAGCTTAAAGTTTGATGTGTTATTTATTTGCTTGCAGTGTTAAGTCAACCCAGTGCGTTGAATAATTTCATTTTATCTGGAAGGACAGGCATCTGTTGTTAACTTGGGGTTATTTTCCCCTTCAAGGCAATGACTATTACTAGTAACTGATTAAGAATTTACACTTCTACCAATTCTTTAGGTGGTGTATATAGTTTCTCAAAATTATCAAGTCATTCCAAAGAAACTTAACCCTTTAAAGGAGATATCAACATATATACATTAAGGAAGACCAGGTTTTGGTTTTTTTTTTTGGAGACAGAGTCTCACTCTGTCCCCCAGGCTGGAGTGCAGTGGCGCGATCTCGTCTCACTGCAAGTTCTGCCTCCTGGGTTCACGCCATTCTCCTGCCTCAGCCTACTGAGTAGCTGGGATTACAAGTGCCCACCCACCATGCCCTGCTTTTTTTTTTTTTTTTTTTTGTATTTTTAGTAGAGAGGGGGTTTCACCGTAATAGCCAGGATGGGCTCGATCTCCTGACCTCATGATCCACCTGCCTCGGCCTCCCGAAGTGATGGGATTACAGGCGTGAGCCACCGTGCCTGGCCCAAGGAAGACCAGGTTTTTAATCATAAAAATAAAGATTCTACAAGACTGCTTTGATATATCCTTTTCTTCTTCTTCTTTTTTTTTTTTTTTTTTCTGAGTCGGAGTCTCACTGTCACCCAGGCTGGAGTGCAGTGGCACACTCTTGGCTCACTGCAACTTCCGCCTCCCAGGTTCAAGTGATTCTCCTGCTTCAGCCTCCCGAGTAGCTGGGACTACAGGCGTGTGCCACCACACCCAGCTAATTTTTTTGTGTTTTTAGTAGAGGTGATGTTTCACCGTGTTAGCTAGGATGGTCTCCATCTCCTGACATCGTGGTCTGCCCACCTCGGCCTCCCAAAGTTCTGAGATTACAGGTGTGAGCCACCGCGCCCAGCCTTGGTTTGGGTTTTATTGGCACACAGGCATGATTTGCTGCCTGAAGTTATTTAATTGGGTTGTGAATCAAAGCGTATGTGGCCAGTTTTTAAGCATTATCTCCTGTGTGCCAGGTGGTGTCCTAGACACAAATGGTACAAGCCAGACTCCTAGATGTCCCTGTTGTCATGTAGCTTATATTTTAGAGGGTGGTGTTACTGCTAGGTGGTTTTAATTAAGTGTGGAAAGGGTGAGGAGTACTGTGTTAAATAGGGTAGTCCAAGGAGGTAACACTGTGTAGAGTTCTGATGGAAATGTGAGAGCAAGCCACTACTGTCTCAGGGAAGAGTATAACAGGCAGTGGGAACAGCAAGGACAGACCTTGAGGTAGAAGCAGGTGTAGTGTGATGTAGGAAGAGCAAGGTTGCTGGAATGCAGTGGGTCAGTGGAAATGGTGTAGAGTAGCAATGGGAAGCAAGTCACTTAGGGCCTTGTAGGCCATTGTAAGACCTTTGGCTTTGACCCTGATTAAAAGGGGAACTATAGGAGAGTTTTGAGCAGAAGAGAAACATAGTTCCACGGGACAAGTATACAAATAGGGCAGCAATGTTGCTTAGTGGTTGTTATAGTTTCTCTAGGTAGACTCAATTGAAATCTCAGCCTACGTTTTTTTTTTTTGAGACAGAGTCTCACTCTGTCACTCAGGCTGGAGTGCAGTGGTGTGATCTCGGCTCACTGCAGCCTCTTCTTGGGTTCAAGCAGTTCTTGTGCCTTGGCCCTCTGAGTAGCTGGGACTACAGGTGCACACCACCATGCCCGGCTAAAATTTTTGTATTGCTAGAAAAGACGGGGTTTCACCATGTTGGCCAGGCTGGTCTCCTGCTCTCAGATATCTTCTCAGCCTCCCACAGTGTTGGGACTACAGGCATGAGCCACCACGCCCAGCCTAGCCTTTCTATTTTATTAGCTGTGTGTCTGAGTACGATGTCACTTCACTTCTGTCTTGTTAGTTTCCTCATCTGTAGACGGGATAAAAGCACTCCCCAGCTGATAGGGTTTTTCGTTTGTTTGTTTGTTAGTTTTTGAGGATTAAATGAGCAGATATACCTAAATGTGCTTATAATAATACCTAGGCCAAGCACAGTGGCTCACACCTGTAATCTCAGCACTTTGGGAGGCTGAGGTGGGCGGATCACCTGAGTTCAGGAGTTGGAGAACACTCTGGCCAACATGGTGAGATCCCCATCTCTACTAAAAATAGAAAAATTAGCCAAGTGTGGTGGCACACGTCTGTAATCCCAGCTACTTAGAAGGCTGAGGCAGGAGAATCGCTTGAACCTGGGGGGCGGAAGTTGCAGCGAGCTGAGATCGCACCACTGCACTCCAGCCTGGGTGACAGTGAGACTCCTCAAAAAAATAATAATACCTAACAGCAAGAGCTCAATGAATATTAGCTCGTAGCAATTTAAAGGTGCTTTACAAAGAGTTGTTTTTTTCACTTGACTCTTTCGCAGCCCAATTTTTTTTTCTTTTCTTTTTTTTTTTTTGAGACGGAGTCTTGCTCTGTCCCCCAGGCTGGAATGAGTGGTGCGATCTCGGCTCACTGCCAGCTCCACCTTCTCGGGTTCACGCCATTTTCCTGCCTCAGCCTCCTGAGTAGCTGGGACTACAGGTGCCCGCCACCATGCCTGGCTAATTTTTTTGTATTTTTAGTAGAGACGGGGTTTCACAGTGTTAGGATGGTCTTGCTCTCCTGACCTCATGATCCACCCGCCTCAGCCTCCCAAAGTGTTGGGATTACAGGCGTGAGCCACTGCATTCGGCTACCCAGCCCAATTTTCTTAAAATTTTTTTAGCTTTTCTTCACTCAAAAGTACTCAATAGGTCATGGTGAATCTACACTAATTTGGGCATGTCCAACCAATACCTATTGGTGGAGCTGAAAATCAGTACTGATTAGGATGTACTGCTTTGGAAGCAAGCCAGCATTACATCAAATAAAAAACATTTGGTCTGTGGCATTGTGTTGTATTCATTGTTTTGGTTTTTTTGAGGTGATCAGCAGATGGTGAGCACTGAGACAAACCTGTAGTGTTCAGCTGGAAAGCTGTTTTCCTGGCCTCCAGCCATAGCGCTTGAACTCTTGCTGCCAGGCTACCTGAGAGTGGACTGATTGGACTTTAAGATCTCATCCTCCCTTATCCATGGTTTTGCTTTCCACAGTTTCAGTTACATATGGTCAACTGCAGTCTGAAAATATTAAGTGGAAAAACCCAGAAATCGTTAATTCATAAGTTTCTTTTCTTTCTTTCTTTCTTTTTTTTTTTTTTGAGACAGAGTCTTACTCTGATGCCCAGGCTGGAGTGCAGTGGCGCGATCTTGGCTCACTGCAACCTCTGCCTCCTGGGTTCAGGCAATTCTCCTGCCTCAGCCTCCTGAGTAGCTGGGATTACAGGTGTGCGCCACCACGCCTGGCTAATTTTGGTATTTTTAGTATGTTGACCAGGCTTGTCTTGAACTCCTGACCTCATGATCCACCCTCCTCGGCCTCCCAAAGTGCTGGAATTACAGGCATGAGTCACTGCGCCTGGCCCTCATTAGTTTCAAATTATGCATTATTCTTTGTAGTGTAATGAAATCTCTTACCATATTGCCTGGGACATGAATCATCCCTTTGTCCAACATGTTCACACTGTATATGCTTCCTATACTGTAATTACTTAGTAGTCATCTTGGTTATCAGAACAAACAGTATATATAGGTTTCACCACTATCCATAGATAGTGCCACTGCACTCCACTCCAGCCTGGCAGCAGAGCGAGACTCTGTCTCGAAAAAAAAAAAAAAAAAAAGAAAAGAAAATCTTTTCTACGTTCATAGTAATGATCCAATAGAGGAGGGTATACTTTCTAACTTATTCTATAAAGCTAGCATTACATTCATACCAAAACCAGAAAAAGGCATCACAAGAAAATATCTATCATGAATATAGATTTAACAATCCTCAGCAAAATATTAACAAACTGAAACCGGCCACATGTAAAAATGATTCTACACCAGATAAGTGGGTCTAAGTGGGGTTTATACCAGGAATGCAAGATTGGCTTAATATCTGAAAATCAAGTAATATTACCATATACTACATTAAGAATACAAAACAAAAACCACGTAATTAATAGATGAAGGAATAATATTTAATAGAAACTCAACACCCATTCCTGATAAAAACTGTCAGCCAGGCCAGGCATAGTGGCTCAAGCCTGTAATCCCAGCACTTTGGAGGCCGAGGCGGGTGGATCACCGGAGGTCAGGAATTTGAGACCAGCCTGACCAGCAAGGTGAAACCCCGTCTCTACTAAACAGATGAAAAATTAGCTGGGCTTGGTGGTAGGCACCTGTAGTCCCAGCTACTCAGGAGGCTGAGACAGAAGAATTGCTTGAACTTGGAAGGCAGAGGGTGCAGTAAGCTGAGATCACACCACTGCACTCCAGTCTGGGCAACAGACAGAGACTCCATCTCAAAACAAAAAAAATTTGTTTTATACGTAGAAAATCCTAAGGGATCTATAAGAACTGGTATGCAAATATACTAAGGATACAAAATACAAAATCAATGTACAGAAATCAACTGTATTTCCATACACT